AAACCTCTATCAGATGTGTCGCTGGTGAAGATTTTCTCCCATTCTGTGGGTTTTCTGTTTGTTTCTTTGGTTGTCTCCTTTGATGTACAGAAGCTTTTTTGTTTGTTTGTGGGGGTTTTTCTTTTTTTTTTTTTTTTTTGTCTTTTTGAGACAGGGTCTTCAGGTAGCCCCAAGTGGCCTGGAACTCACAAAGAGCCACCTGCCTCTGTGTCCCAAGTGCTGGGATTAAAGGCATGTGCCACCACGCCCAGCTCTCAGCTACTTTAAAATTTTTGTATTTTATTTATTATTTTTATTTTATGTGTATGAGTGCATTGCCTACATGTATGTAAGTGCACACATGTCATTCAATGCCCATGGAGGTCAGAAGAGGGTGTCTGATGCCTTGGAGCTTGGTTTACAGATGGTTGTTAGCTCCCATGTGGGTGCTGGGCATTAAACCCAGGTTCTCTGCAAGAACAGCCAGTATTCTTAACCACTGAACCATCTCTTCAGCTCCCCCCTCACCTACTTTTCTTATACAGCCCAGGACTACCTGCCCAGTGATGGTATGGCCCACAGTGGATTCAGTCCTCCTGTATCGAAAAGAAAATACCTCACAGAATGGCTACAGGCCAATCCGATGGAAGTAATTCCTCAGTTGAGGGTCCCTCTTCCCAGATGAGACAAATTGAAAACTGAAGCCAACCAACCTAGTGACCGTATATCATTAGCTTCTGGAGAACTAGTCTGATTTCTCTAAAATGTTTCTGGTCTTTGGTCACTACTGTGGCAGTGCTGCCTCTTTAGCCAAGGTTTTCCTCATCCCTGCCTCTCTTCCTCACCAGAGTTTGCTCTTTTCACCCAACCTCAAGAATGCTTTTTGCACTTTTGGCCATTAACCTTGTTTGTCCCGAGCCACCACTAATCATGATTTATTTCTTATGGACCTGTGCTGTCCAAAACAATAGCGGTTACCTACATGTGATTAAGTGAAACAAAAAAGTAGTGTACCATATTTGGACAGCAAAGACGTATGTTTCCATTTTTACAAAAAAAAATATTGGATGTTGCTTTTTCTGGACTGTAAATTTAGAAGGGAACTATAATTTCCTCTAGTTTTCTCAGTAGCCCTTACATGGTACTTTGCCCATCTTGAATTCAGTGAAGAAAATAAAATCTGATCCTGGCATGGAGGAGAACTAGAGTCTGGAAAGTATTTTCTTCTTGAAAGATGATAGATGATTCACAGGTGTACACACACAGGTCAGAGGAATAAGAATTGGCGCTTGCTGGTTTGTGTGTTCCTACACTACTGTCCTTGTTTTCTCTATCCATAGGCCTGTGCTGTCAGGTGCAGTAGTTCTGGCTATGTGTGTCTGTTTGAAGTTAAAGCTAAAACATTAGATCCTGCACTGGCCACATATTTAGGTATGCTTGGTCAACTGTGGTAAGTGGCTGTTACCTTGGACCTTGCAGATAGAGGAGAGCATCGTCTTTGGCTGAGATTGTCAGCTGTGTGTAGTTGAGGATATCAGGGCAAATTAGCTTAGGTTTAAAAGTCACTGGTGATGTCAGTTTGTTCTTAACGTAGACTGTGATTTTTAACAGGCTGAGAATGCTTGGTTGTGAATTTTTTGTCAAATGAGCCCAAATTTTGAATTTTTGTTTTGTTTTCTGAGATGGTCTTGTTTTATAACCCTGACTGGCCAGGGACTCATTATGTGAAGCAGGCTGACTTTGAGCTTGTGATCTTCCTGCCTCTGTCTCACAGATGCTAAGATTCAAGTGTAGGCATCTTGGCTTGGCTTTTTAATGTTTTCCTTTTTAAAAAAGAACAGTTTAAGGGCCTGGAAAGATGGCTTAGTGGTTAACCATGCTTATTAGGCTCCTGCAGAGGACCTGAGTTCAGTTCCTAGCACCCACATCAGGAAGCGCACAACTGCATGTAATTGCAGTTCTAGGGTATCCAACACCCTCTTCTGGCTTCTCATGGGTACCTGCAGGCATGTGTGCCTGCCTGCACGTATCACATAAATAAAAATAAAACCTTTAAAAGAGCAATTTTAGGTTGACATCAAAATTAAAGAATAAGTAGTTTCCATATCCCCCTTACTCCTTCCTCATTTTGAATTAAAGATCTTAATCTTTTATAACCACCTAAATCAGTGAGTGACCTATCAGATGAGGAGTGAGGAAAACTTAACACTTTATCACTTAGGACACTTCCTAGGGTACTAATGAAAGTCTTTTGAAGATGGGGTAAAATCATAGCTATGCAAATTCTTGAACTTTTCAGGGAAAAAAAGGATTAGTAAATGATAGAACATTGAGTGGGTTAATACAGTGACTAGGCAATAATCTTTTAATTTTTTTAGTTTTATGAGTGTATGGTCTGCATGTAAGTGCACCTATGTCCCAGAGCCCACAGAGATCAGAAGAGGGAGCTGAATCCCCTGGAACTGGAGTTAGAGATGGTTGTTAGCTGCCTTGTGGGTTCTGAGAACCAAACCCTGGTCCTCTGCAAGAGCAACCAGTACTCTTGACCAGTAAGCCATCTCTCCAACTCCAGTGGACAATAATCTTTTAGGAAAATATATTTAACAAAGATGATTCAATAACAGAAACATGGAAAAGGATCAGTGCATTCATCTTGTTTAGAGGTAACCACTATTCACATTTTTATGTATTTCTTCCCAGACTGATCTGTCTTTGTATTGGAGATGTACCTGCCCATAGGTGAATGTATATTTGGTTCCACAGTGCATAATGCAATGTTGTGCCCTACTGTTTTCACATGGTATAATTTCTATGTTTTTTTATTTGCTTATTGAGACACGATCTCATGCAAGCCTAGACTAGCCTTAAACTTGTGACATTCCTGCCTCAGACCCCTGAGTGCTGGGATTACAGGCATGAGCTACTGTGCTAGCTTTAATTTTTGTTAAACTTTATTTAATATGTGTGAATATAGTGCCTGCGTGTATGTAAGTGCACCTGTGTCATGTAATGCCTGAGGAGGCCAAAAGAGGGCATTAGATCCCCCGAAACTGGAGTTATGGACAGTTATTAGCCACCATGTGGGTGCTGGGATTCGAACCTGAGTCTTCAAGAACAGCCAGTTAGTTCTCTTACCACTGAGCCATCTCTCTAGCCCCTCATTTTTGTTTTTAAAACAACCACCATCCTTACCCCTGTGGGCGACTGAACTCAGGGCCTTGTACATGCCAAGTAAGGGCTGTCAGTGAGCTATGGTCCAGACTCTTTAAAAAACAATTTAAAAAACAACTGTATGATAATTTCGTGCTCTGGCTATATCATGGTTTATTTAACTGTAACATAGACATGAAGGTTAATCGTAGAATTTTCTCATTTTAAGTAAAGCTGTAATGGATACCTTTTTCTCTTAGTTCTGATGGATTGAAGAAAGTTGTGAAGACTACTTGATCCTGGTTGGGCACAGGTGATTGTTAGGACTAGGGAGTTCCTTTTCTGTTCTCTGTTGGTTAGGAGCTACAGAAAATACATTGATTTATAATAGGCTAGAAAAAGACATTTGCTGCCTCCTTTTTTAGGACTAATGGTGGGGAAAAGTCTAGAAATAAGTACTTGGCTAAATCACCTTTTTTTCCCCCTTTTAGTTCTTGAAATCATGAATCCTGTTTATAGCCCTGGGTCTTCTGGGGTTCCCTATGCAAATGCCAAAGGAATTGGTTATCCAGGTAAGCAAGTTGAATTTTGTTTTCATTATTGAACTTTGAATACTTGGTCTGTTTCCATGTCAGTATAAACATTTGCAGTAGGCAAACCCAGCTCAAAGAAGTTTTAGTTAAATAGGAAGGAGGGAGGGAGGGAGGGAGGGAGGAAGGAAGGAAGGAAGGAAGGAAGGAAGGAAGGAAGGAAGGAAGGAAGGAAGGAAGGGAAAAATCAAGAGAAGTCTGGCTTACGTTAGAGCTGGATGGGCGTGGTTAGGACCAGGACCTACTTTCTCTACCTCCTGGTTGCTCCCTTCTTCAGTATTGGTTTATGAGGTTCAGCCCCTTTGAGCAGTCCCTGAGTAGAAGCCTCGTTATCTCTGCCCCATAGGAAAGACCAATGGACTCTCCCAGTCCCTGTTCACAGCTTTCCTGGCTTTTGTCCTGGTTGAGCAGTACTTCTGTCTCCCTGGTCCAGCGAGGGGATCCTGTTGAGTACCTTAGGCCTAAGCCAAATCCTTGCTTTCAGTGGAGTCTGTTAGTCAGAGCTGAGCTGAGGGAGGCCATAAAGTGAAAAATGGGGAAATCAGAACTTGTTCATACATTGCAAATGGTTATCCTGATTGGTTGGTTAAACAAGGAATAGTTATTTGTAATATTACAATTTCACTGTGGGTTCTTCCCCCTTTAGTACGGATGATGGAACCCAGAGCTATGCTGTGCTAACTAGGCAAGTGTGCTGCTACTGCTGCTACATTCATACCCTGTGTGTTTTTGAGATGACCTTTGTTAGTTACCCAGGCTATCCTTGAATTCACTTTATAGCTGAGTGAGGCTGACTTTTCGATCTCTTTGCCTCAACCTCCTGTGTAGCTGAAATTACAGGCTCGCCACCATGCCTGCCTTTCATTATGAGTTTCGAAATCCCGTAACATGGGGGAAACCATGTTGTTACAAAACACTAAGAAACTGGAATAAGCCAGGCATGATGGTGCACGCCGTTAGCCCCAGCACAGAGACAGAGGCAGGTGAATCTCTGTGAGTTCAAGGCTAGCCTGGTTTACATAGTAGAATTACAGGCCAGCTGGTGCTACAGGGAGACCCTGTCTCAAAAAGACCAAAAGAAAAAAAAGAAAATGGAATAATACATTTTACAAATGTATAGCTGAACTTGCAAGAAGGAAAAGTAAGTATCTGTGACCAGATTTGAAAGTGATCCAAAACTTGCTTGTTTGGCCATGGAGCTGTGGGTCTTGTGTCTGTCCTCAGAGTATTGGCTGTAACAACCCACATGGGGACAGAAGAAGACGCTTAGAATGGAGTGAGAGTCAGTTGGCTTTCTCCTCAGGCAACCTGATCTCTAGACAGTGGTCCTCCCACTGAAGAGGTGGAGCGTCTACTCACTGGCCCCACAAGGAAGCTTGTGTCTTGAGTGGGCTCTGAGAATTGGTGTCTTTCTGAAGTGCTTGTAAACATTTAGGAGTTTTTGAGGCTCTGGTTTGTATTACTTGTGCTTCCTAGTAGAGGGCATCCAGAAGTTGAAAAGCTAACTTCAAACACCCTTAGCCCTAGAATACCTGACAGCAACAAATTCAGAGTTGCATTGTCTTCAGTGTAGTTTGTGTGGGCTTCCTGCAGAGTTCTACCTGCTCCTATGCAAAATTATTATAAATCAGGTAAAAGTCATTAGTCACTCTCTGTTAGGTAAAAGTTACTAGTCAGAACAGACAATAGGAATGGAACCAGCAGGCAGAAGCCATGCTGTTAGAAAGTTGAGGATACTTGTACAATAAAGAACCCAAATCCCGAGAGGAGAACAAGATGCAGAGGGATGGGGGAGAGAAACAACTGAAAAAGAGGTGGGGAGAAGAGAAAGGCATTCAAGCCAGATGTAGATTAATTTGCAGATAGAACACTGCTGAGGGTGAGCCAAAATGCTATATAAGGAAATGGCAAGAGAGGAAAATAGACTGCTTAAGAACTTTGAGGGGCTGGGGAGCAGTTAAGAGCATATACTGCTCTTCCCTGAGGACCTGGGTTTAGTTCTTAGCACCCACATTGAGTGGTTCACAACTACCTAGAACTCCAGTTCTAGGGGCTCTGATGCCCTCTTCTGGCCTCCACGGATTACCCACATGCATGTGCACATACACACAGACTTATAAATATACATAAGTAAAAACCCTTTATAAAAAAAAGGAAAAGGAGCCAGGTGTGGTGGAACATGCCTTTAATCCCTACACTGGAGAGACAGAGGCAGGCAAATCTCTTGAATTCAAGGCCAGCCTAGTCTACATAGTGAGTTCCAGGCCTCCTGGGGCCTATGTAGTAAGAGCCTTGTCTCCACCCCTCACACCAAAAATGAAAAAATAAGAGAGGAAATAGACTGGTTAAGAAATTTGAGAAGAGTTCCTCAGAAAGACTTAGTAGAAAGATTAGAAGAAAAAGAATGACAGTTTTCCAGTATTGATGAAAAATAATGGGGGATAAGACCTCTTGTTTTTTTTTTCTGATAATATTTTTATTTTATGTGTATATTGCCTGCCCGTGTGTAAGTATACCCATGTTGTACAGTGCCTGCAGAGGCTAGAAGAAGGCATTTGATTCCCTGGAACGGTTGTTACTGCCATGTGAGTGCTGAGAATTGAAACTCTATATAAGAGCAGCCAGCCGGTGCTCTTAACCACTGAACCATCTCACCAGCCCCAGACCTCTTGTTCTTAAAAGTATTAACACTAATTTAGATGAAGCAGCAAAAGAGGATCCTGAATGAATCTCAAGGCAGGGAAATAGCCAAACACCTGTGATACTAGCATTACCTGATTCATTTAAGGCATCAGTTGTCTCAGCTTATCACCAGTCTGGACAAAGCTGTGGATACTGAGATGTGTGCATTTTGTTCCTGCCCCTCAGTCATCCTGGGCAGGGATTGACACGCCCTATGTCAAGATTGAAGTGTTTTTCAGACTTTGTGGATTATACATCTCAGTTGTGCCACTAGCACAGAAGCAACCCTTGACAACCATTGGTATGGCTGGTCAACAATTGAAAACAGGTAGTGGGCTGAACTGGCCCTGTGACCATCATTTGAATGTCCTTCCCTGGTCAAGATAATTTTATAGTAAGCCATTATTTTAGGTAGGTTTTTTTTTTCCCCCCTCATTTTTGCTCTAAATTAGCTTTAGAAAGAAAGCCTCTGTAACCTCGAAGCAAAGTTTTGTATATTTTCTATAGTTTTTCCATACTTTAGCTTGGCAATTTCTTGGTTTTGGTATCTAAGTCACTCTGACTTAGAAAGGTATTAGTGCTGGCACTAGTACCTAGGGGTCAGATCTGAGATTATGTGCCTGCTGAATCTGAGGCCAGGCCAGTGTAACTTCAGTGCCAAGGTTGATAAGACATGGAGGCAATTCTTCCTCCAGGTTCTGTCTGTGTAGTAATTACTGGTACTGCTGAGTTTCTTAGTGCTGTTGCTATTTTCTCATTTGTAACACCTGGCTTTGCTCATTTTCTTTTATTCCAAAGAGGCAATTTTTAGCACATTTTTACAGAAATAACTTGAAGCAGATTACATAAAATATATATATACAATGAAATTTAAAGGAGGAAAAATAGGAATAAGAACTCTTAAAAAAAAAAATAGGACTGAAAGACCAAAAGATTTCCCAACATGGGGTCAACTTTGGTGGAATAATGAAGGTCTCCATTGTTTTTGTTTTTCTTGGCGGGCAGGGGGGAGGTCCTAACGAGTTTATTGGGCTTCCTAACAGAGCATAGGGTGGGGGTTTATTTACAGAAGAGTGGGCTCCCCCCGCCCCCATTTATGCCTGAACTGGAAAGTCCACACTCAAATATAGATCCTGTGACTTGCCGACAGCTGCACAAAATGGCAAGAGAGGTGCCTCATGGCATTCTCAGCTTAATATTTCCTTAGCCCCTTCCCCATATGCAGTTTAGGTTGACTGATGGGTGGAAGGGGTAACTGACTCCTCCATGGACTCCTTGACGGACATGGGAAGGAGGTATGACTATAGCTGGTGGGCATAGTGGTGGGAGGACACTTCCAGTTAACACTCCACTCCTTCCTCTGGTTCTTTCTGCCAACCTCTTGCGCATAAGCCCCTGAGCCTTGGAGGGAATAATAGGTATGAGATGATCTTCCTCCCATTGTGGCAAGGCACTGAACTTTTGGGTCTCTGCATCATCTGTTTTCCATGGGCTGCTGGCTCATTTCAGTGGGATTCCATCTACTATACAAACACACAGCAAGAAGCAAGAACATCTAAACAGTGGCTGCTATAATAACCTATGGACATAAACACAAATGGTACTTTAGCAGGTGCATCATATCCATCTAACAAAATAATCACAGTGGCGTCCCTACTGGGGCCTCTAGCCTCCCCTTCCACAGGGGTTTGACTTGGTCTACAATACCAGATGTTTGTTCCACCTTTAGGAGCGGGCATCATATCCAATTGAAAATTTGCTGGTTGTACCTACGCTAGACATGCCACTGTTGCACTGGTACATCTTTTTTGGCATATTGATAGTGCAGCACTGGGGGTCTGTCATTGAGTAGAATTACAGGGGACAGTTCTCCCCATTTGCATGTCCCCTTCTGGCACTATGAAAGCCACCCATTCAGTGGTAGGGAGTTTCCAGCTTAGTCCAAGCTTGATTTCTCTCTCTCCCATGCTCACATCATGCAGTGTCTTCAGCAATAGGGTTTTACCAACCAATTCCAGTGTGCAGCCAACATTATTGGCAATGACTTTTATTGTTTTGGGAACCTCTAGGGCCCCTTTGGCTAACAGCTCATAGGGGGCAGCCCACCTCTGGCACTGGGATTTTCATTTAATAACTGTATGGCTTCTGGTAGGGCTTTCTTCCATGCTCATTTTCTTTTATTCTTTACCTTTTAAGAAAACATTAACAATATTTTATTACATTTATTTATCGTGTATTGTGTAGGTACATGTACCGGTATACATGTGCCATGGTGCATTTGGGGATGGCTGAGGACAACT